AAGATGGACACCAAAAATACATATGACTTATTATTAGAAACAGAAAATAAATCGAACAGAAGTAAAGCTAATGCTATAACATTATTTGTCCTTTTATAAAGGACAATAGATGCCGCTTGATATTTTCACCAAAATATATAAAAATGCCCGCCATGTAAAAATAATTATAAAAGTCTACAATAATGTGCGAATAATATCTATTAGCCTTGAAACATCCAGTACCTATTCGACATAGGCATCCTTCATATTTTTTTATCTCAAGCCATGTGCATCCACATCGAACCAACGCAGCGTGGTGTTTCAGGCATGAATATATATATCAACATAGACAGCAGTACGACGCCATCTTTTTTGTTGTTGTTTGTTGTGTCTCTGTTTTACATCAAGTAAGTATAGCAGCGTCTCGTTTGGTAAGGAAGAGAGTGAGGAGTTACAATGCGCTAGAGTGGGGCAGATGGAACAACCGCAAGAGATCTTGTCGTCAATACGCGCAGCCGGTATGCTTGGTCTATGGTAATATATGTCTATGGTTTCAGGACATCCACCCACCTCATCTGTGGCCTCCCTTGTCGAATAGTGGTAGGCTTCATAGTTCCTTGGATCTAGTTCCTAAAAAGGAACTATAACTAACTTTGCGATCAGATCGGTATGATCAATCTTGATATGAATCGTATCGAGCACAAATCAGCAACTCTAGTGTTTAGAAATAGATTTGATATTCGATATCAAAAATAAAAGTAAAATATGGTAAACGATAGGAAACTAAAATTATTTCTATTCACGAAAATAACGAAGTGGCCGTCATCTAAAATAAGGAGATTTAACACACCCTACTGAGTACCGACTGTACTCAAATATATCATCAAAGTATTTTTGGAATACATAATTACTCAATAATAATTGATTAAATACCACCAAATTGCTTCAACCTTTTTCTTCTCCTATACGAGACACGGCTACTACAGACAATTTTAATAAATTAATCGAAGCACAGTATATGTATATACGTATGTACCTACAACAAGCTGAAGCTGACAGCCAAACATCAAGAATAGCATACCGAACCGATCACGATTATCATACGGTTTCTCGGAACTATCTTAGTTTATCGGCTCTGAACTAGTTCGTTTGTTTTTCGTTTTCGTCGATCGGGAGATGCAGTTCGCACAAATGACGGTATCAAATATCAGATCAGCAGTGACGTTAATAGTTCCATTTAATTTTCAGAACTATTTCATTTATAATATAAAATGAACTATTACGTTCCGGAAATACCCACCACTATTGTTGAAGTAGTTACTTCTTATCGCTCGGTATGACGTTGCACGAAAAATCGGGACAAGTATAGTAACCTTGAGTTATACCATAATATACATCCTTCTCTCCATAGTAAAAATCCTTCTTTCTTTATATATACGCATCATTTGGTGTTGAAACGATGCAAGCGCTGTGCATTGCATTGATATAATGTGTACTTCGAAACTGCATTTAGTGTAGAAAGGAGGCAAGCGATGTCGCTAGCCCCCTTTCAACAACGTACGAAGTAAACATCACGTTGTTTAATGGTTCTTGCTGTGCTGAGTAATCGAGGTTGTCATTTGCATTGTGTTTACTTTCCATGTCCTGAAAAGTTTTGTTGTTTGCAAAACATAAAAATGGAAAAACATGTGAATAGTAACGGACCAAAGTTAAACACAGTAAGAGAGATGTGAGACATGACGACGAATATAAGAGAAATGTTATAAAACAGAGCAAAATAAAAGGCATATGGAAATCAACAAATTAAAAAACACAGATATAATTCTGAATGACCAACTTGAGACAAACAGTTCTCCCCTCCTCAACCTATTTCATTAGAGACTATAAATTTGTAAACCCAAGCCAAAATAGATCACTTGAGAAAGGCAATCAGCCGAAACAGCTGTAGTGATAATATTTAAAATAAATTTTGTGGAAGTTTGAAAACAAAGTTTTCAGTGTTTTATTGATATATATAATAAAAGGCGTTTCATATGTTAATTACAAAGAAAAAACAGTTCCGAACAAGAAAATTGGATTAGCATGCAATTAAGTTCATTTTTTTTCCTAATTTAACTTCTCATCTGCATCGTTGTTTTTTTGGATGACCCTTAAAATGTTTCACTAAAATAAACGAGGACGGCAGAAATGAAATATTCGACAAACTTTACAAATGAAATACAAAAGATGGGCAGGATTTATATCTACAAGGACTTATAGAAAAACTTGGTGTTGGTAGAAGGAGAAAAAAGTCCACTGAAGACCATTTTGTGCTTGTTGATAACATGAGGGTACGTGTTTATCAAAAAGCATTTTTTACCTTAAATGGTGTTTCCAAAAAGAGCGTAGAACGAATCAAAAATTTGTTATCAAACAACCAAATACCATGTGAGAAAAGGGGCCACAATGGGAAGGTTAATGCCATTCCTGAAGAAAACAACATTTTAATAAGGCAATTTGTTGAATTATTTCCTCTTAAAGATACACAGTACTCTGGTAAACCTATGTCATATCTAGATGCATGATTAAACGTCAAGATTATACATCATCTTTTTAAAGAAAAACACCCAGATTTCTCTATAAAGTATGATTATTACCTGAAATATTTTAAGGAACACTTTAACTACTGGTTTGGCCGTCCTCAGGTAGATAAATGTGGTCGGTGTGAGGAACTTGGAGTTAAGATTAAAAGTCCTTCACTTGGTGATGCGACCAAACGGACTGCTGCTTTTCGTCCACAAACGCAGAGCCAAAAAATTGTATACATATCTCAAGGAGGCCGAAACTCGTATCAAAACTAATGAAAGTGTATTAGCCTTATGGTTTGATCATATGCAGAACCTTCATCTTTCCGAAATTCCCGTACAAGATCTGTTTTACGTTACACAATTGACTGTAAACGTTTTTAATATTCACAACTTTAAAACCAGTGAAAGTTTCTTTTACATGTATCACCGACCCAGACAGCACAAATACGTCCCATGGACGTCTGAAGGATGTACCTCATTCATCGAGCAAAAAGACAAAAGAGGGAATGTAAAGGCAGTAGGGGCAAACATATTGTTAGACAGGAAGTGCGATCTTTAGAGGCCACATTAAACAAGGAAATAGAGTCTCTTTCCTTGTTTGACATCAAATTTAGTTGGGTTATGTTATTGTTTGTCCCAAATGTCACATGAAATCTTATTTATATTGAAGTTTTTTAACAATTGTGTCGCATTTTAGACTCTTATCATTAATAATTAATTAAAACTTTCTCGTCTAAGACACATTCTAAAAAATATTATATAGCTACTGTTGATAAGTGTCGGAAAATTTAAATTTGGCGCATTCGCATTTCCGGATATGTCTGCCATCAGAGGCCACTTTTTTGGTCTCCTTTTCTTAAAGATTAGATTCCCTCTTTTGTCTTATTGCTCGATGACCTCATTAAATGTCCGGACATCCGTTTACATAATTTGGACGTCCGATAAGACCTAAATGTTCCATAAAGTACGTCCCAGGGATGTTCGTGGGGACGTAGGTACATAGTACATATACCTACAGCACTTAATACGGACTTATATAGGACCTAAGAAGGATGTATTGGGGACATCCATTATACGTCCACATGGACTAATACAGGACCTAAAGGGAATTTACAAAAAACTAATAAAATAAAAAGCAAAAATAAATGCGATTTTTATTTATTTTTAAGTACATTTTACTCATACTTACTTTACAAATGTTCTAACTCACACCACAACCACAAACATTTCCTAAAATTCCTATATACCTACTTAATGTCTTTAATAATAAATTACCAAACTATAAACTAGTATCGAAAGCAAGAAACTAATTCTAATTACAATCACAACCACAATGATTATAATTCGAGAAATAAAAGATTTCGAAAATGCTAGCTAAAAATAAAAATGCTTTAAAAAGAAACAACTACAAGGAGATAAATAGAAGCGTTGTTAAAACATAACCATACATTCTTATTTCATCTTCTACTTTTTAAATTTCAGTTTCACTACACAACAAAATTTTAGAGATACAGCTCTGCTATAGTATAATATATAAGTGTTTTCGTATAAATTATTGGTATTTTAAACTAAATATAACTTTTTAAAATAAAGTTTAGTAGGAAGATATTATATTTTGTAAAAAATGTGCTTAAATAAAAAAATGACACAGTTAACCTCCCTAATGGGACGTCCCTGGTATGTCCGACTAGAAATATCCCTCGGACGTCCAAAAGAAGTCCCGGGACGTTTGGACCTTAAAATGGCTTAAAATGGACGTCCCAGGGATGTCTTGTGCTGTCTGGGATCCTTCAGACGTCCATGGGACGTATTTGTGCTGTCTGGGCATACGAATGAACGGCCAATAGCTTATTGACTTTGCAGCTAGTAAAAACATGATCATATATAAAGTTCTACCATATTTCCCCACAAAAATATGCACAAAGACACCTGGATACCCCCTGGAGGGATGTTGTGAACCAAATACACCACGTCTTGATAGAAAAGCGATCAGCTATAATACAAGCATTCTGCACGTAAAAAGTAGACGAGGTTTATGCTGCGGCTCGGACCATAGTACATACCCTCCAATACATTGGGTATGTATTGTGGCTCGGACCACGTACTAGTTCAGGTTATGCTGTGGTTCAGGTACAGTACACTTCAGATGTACTGTACAGGATCAGCCGACAGGCAAAAGAAAATCAACCAAGAAAGGAAATTTTAGATCTTTTAAAATTAAAAGAGCCGAAACTCAAAAGAAATTTGAAGAAGAAATAAAGAGGAAATTGGCTATATGAAGAAGACTATGTACATATGAAGAGAGATCATTAGAATACCAATATGTAGGAACTCTCACTCTGATCTGTGTAATCTTAATTATTTGATAAAGAAATATGGCTATAGGAATACGCCCTTCGCTACACTCGCAATTTTCTTAAAGTAAAACAAAATAATTTTTCAGTTTTTTTTATTAAGTACATGCCATTTTACTTCGTGTTAATAACAGCAGCTCATCCTTTTTTTCATCAAAATTTCCAATTTTTGTACCTCGCTTGCAATACTGCCAACTAAAATAAACATAAAGTATTAATACTAATAATAGAATGGATCTAAAAAAAAGAAAAAATATTAATATTGTTACGTAATAAATATTGTGTTTAAATCTTGTAATCAAGTTTAAACGTTCAATGGCCCATTAGCTCAGTTGGTTAGAGCGTCGTGCTAATAACGCGAAGGTCGTGGGTTCGATCCCCCCATGGGCCAATCTTTTTTCTCTAAAAACACGACAGACATTTTATAAATTAATATAATTTGTTTACAAGACATATAAAAATAGAATTACGACACAACATAAAATCCATGGCAATTGTTTATCATAAAATTGTGCTATGCTGCTATGAATAATTTTCAAAAAAAAAATATCGTCTTGAAAACCTCATGCCGCCTTTATTTTTCTCTTCAATTAATATTTTCTTATTTTAATTTATATACTTAGATCCAAATATTTTCATTACTTTTGTTTACGTTTGAATATTTTAAATAGGCATTAGGGTACTATGAGAAAAGAAAATATTTCCATAGGTGAATTATTGTACTCTACTTTCTATTTACTGATTATACATGATTAGCATAATTTAGTTCATTCTGAAAAGTATAAGAACAATTTTAATGTTCAAAAATTTAAATTTAAAAATTAAAAACCGATGTTCCAAGTAACTAAATACCTAAATACGGTATTTTTCCACAATTTTGTAATTCCGATATGGTCTAGTGGCTAGGATACCTGGCTTTCACCCAGGAGGCTCGGGTTCGATTCCCGGTATCGGAAAACTTTTTAAATTTTTTTGCAACAAAATTGCAAAATTAGTGTCGCCGTCTTAGTAAAAAATTAGTTTTTTAAAACAATTACAACTTTGAATTCTTTTGTTAAGGTTTCGTATTTGCACTTAGAAATCATTTTTTTCTGTTTATTTTCAATCATGTATCAGCACAAATGGGTGCAAAGTCACAATAAATATCATATTCCTGTAAACTACTCCATAGTTTTTGATCCTGTATTACAGCATTGGGAGAAGAACTTCGTATATGACCAGTGGCGGCTCGTCAGAAGAGGTAATGGAGGCTTAGCCTCCCCATTCCCATACATTTTTTACACGCGCTACACTGTCTTGTTGATTTTGAATCGCGAGAAACACTGTTTCAGTGCTCTTTCACTTCCTTCTGAATATTCCTTACATGTTTGAGAGAACGTAAAATCAGAGAACTACGAACACACTGTGGTCGTTAGTTCTCTGGTAAAATATCGTCATGAACGTAGATGATGCTAAGATAAGTGCAGTTACTTGGGGCCGATTAGAAGAATGCTTTTAAATCTGAGGTATTATTTAGGATTAAGAAATTGTACAATTTCGAGAAAAATCCTCTTTCATTGCTTTTTTCCGTTTCATTATGACCACGAGATGGTTTTCCACATTTTACTAGAACTATAATTATATCAATTAGGTTGAAACCCTGTAAAATTGGAATACCATATAGTTAAAAACTATCAACCTCTAATGTTTTAATATGGGGAATAAAGAAACAAAAATGAATAGAACACTATACAGGGTGTTTCAAATGTCACAAATTAAATCACGCATTCCGGGAACAAAAATAAGTTGATTGAATCCAACTTACCTTAGTACAAAAGTGTACACAAAAAAAAGTTACAGCCCTTTGAAGTTACAAAATAAATATTGTTTTTTTTTGCATTACAGTAAAACCTCCTTTAACCAAAACGGCTGACAGTTTCAATAATTTCGTCAATAAAAAGTAAATTTTTATCGCAAAACGTAAACAATTCCATTGATTTCACTTACCGATTGATGCCGACGTGTGTTGGGAAATCAAAAAAACTAAGAGCGCTAAAAGATATTTGAGGAAAAATCACTTCCAGTTTTTTATAGAAACCAAAAAATCTCATGGATGTCGACCACTTTATTTTCAGAATGGTTCGAAAATGAATTCATCTCAAGTGTAAAATCCTATTTAGAATGAAAAAAACCTTCCCATCAAAACATTTTTGTTTGTTGACAATGCGCCAACTCATCCTCAAAATCTACACAATAGTGATAATTGTCAGATTTTTGCTACCAAATGTAACGAGCTTAATTCAGCTGTTAGACCAGGGAGTAATAGAGATATTCAAGAGACATTATAGAGGAGCATTCTTAAGACATCTGTTATTATAGGAGATGAATTAATCCAAAAGTGTTGCCGAAATTCTCAAATCTTCAACAATGAAACATGTTATTTATCGGTGTGCTGAGTTCTAGGCCAAGATCAACTCTTCAACTTGGAAAAATGCTGGAACTAACTTTTTGATTGTTAGAATAGAAGATTTCTTTAAAAGAGCATGTTAAACTTGTTCATTTTACTTAATTTTATTACTTTATTCTGTATTTATTTATTAGAAATCATTACGAAATCACCTCATAGTATTTTTAATACCAATACTTTAACCCAGAATACTATAAAAAACAATGCTATTTTTAACCGAAATTCTTGTTATCCGAAACGACCTCCCCCAATTATTTCGGTTAACGGAGGTTTTACTGTATCTCCTAAACTACTAGACATTTTGTAATAGCACACATAACAAAATCTAAGCGCACAGAAAAATTTTAAGGGGGGTGTGCAGCCCTAAATCCCCCCAAACTTTTGAGTATGTGCAAATCAAATGAATTTTGTGGCATCATTAGTTTAACACATTATTTTTTTGCCTATCACTTTTTTCAAAAAACAGTTTTTATTGAGTTACGGCCCTTTTTATTTACCTTTAAAAAATTACGTGCAACTAAATAAATGGCTGAAATGAATTAACAAGTACAAAAAAGGTCTATAACCTCTATAAATATGATATAACAATAAATATTTAAAATGACCCCCATTTTCTTCAATACACACCCGGTATCGTTTTAATAAGGAAAACCGAATGCGCTGAAAAATCATATTCTAACCCTCAATTGTTGTTCGTCCTCTATTATTACAGAATACACTTTCTCCTTCATAAACCCCCAAAAGCAAAAGTCCATGGGGTTAAGACGGTAAGGCCTGGACATATGTGTGGCCAAGAAATAGGTGCATCACGACCACTTCCAATCCACCGACCAGGATACTGCCTGCAAAGGTAGTATCTTGTAGAAACCACATATTTTGCCTTATTGCCATATTCACCTCTTCCAAATACTCTTGCAAATCGTTTTCCAAGAACTACAAATAATTATCACCATTTAAATTGTTGGGAAGAAATACTGGGCCAATTATATTGTTATCCACAATTCCTGCCCAAACATTAAGTTTGAAAGTCCTTTGGTGATGAGTCGTTTTGTTGGCGTGAGGATTTTCGTCGGCCCAAATGTGCTTGTTATGATGGTTTGTTATTACATTTCTACTGAAGGTAGCCTCGTCGGTAAACAAAATATTTCTAATAAACTTAACATTTCTAGTGTTTTCCATTACCAACCAATCGCAAAATCCAATCCTTTTAGGATAATCTTCAACCAATAACTCTTGAACCGTTATTAAGTGATAGGGTTTAAGCAGCTGACCCTTAAAACGCCTCCAAACCCTTACGTAAGGAACATTTAGTTGAGCAGTTATTACCTTTATACTTGTTTCAGGGACTTCTTCAATGATTTTTAAAATTTTTTCGTCAGTTGCATCCATTATTGGATGACCACTATTGCCAGCAACTTGCGGTTGGAAATTACCCGTTTCCCGTAAACGACGATCAATGATCAGAAATAATCGTCTATCGGGTGTATTTCGATTGGTTTATTTTACTGCACTATTTCCTTGACATTCACCTACGATATTCACGATAGTTTATTGAAATCATAATTTAATCTGATCCAACTTACCCAAAGTTAAATGCATATCTGCCATTTCCTGAAATGTGTAGGACATTGTAATATTAAAATTTTTAATATTAATCTTATTCGCACAATATTAGCACAATAATAGCTTCAAATTATAGCTTATTATTATTATTGATGGAACTGTTTGTAATTATTGTATCCGTAGAAACTGATTATAATTTTATGGCCAACTAGGAAAAAACTACATAGTTTTCGAAAAAGTTATAAGAGGCAAAAAAGTTTTAAAAATAATGTGTTAAACTAATGATGCCACAAAAATTCATTTGATTTGAACGTACTCAAAAGTTTGGGGAGATTTAGGTCTGCACAGCCCCATTAAAATTTTTCTGTACGCTTAGATTTTGTTGTTTCTTTTGTATGCAAAATGCTTTCAGAACAAGAAAGTAACGTGTCCATTTTTATTACAAAATGTCGAGTAGTAGAGATAATACAAAAAAAAACAATTTTTATTTTGTAACTTCAAAGGGCCGTAACTTTTTTTGTGTACACTTTTGTATTAGGGTAAATTGGATTCAATCAATTTCTTTTTATCACCGTGAAATCACCGAAATGCGTGATTTAATTTATGTCATACCTTTTTGAAACACTCTGTGTATATATAGTATAATTACTTTTGATTAGTTTGTTCAAAAAAAAATATATCAAAAGTTCTTTTGTACCACGCGTATTTTGTATCCACGCGTTCAATTTTAAAATACCAATGGTGGCCCGTATTAGATATATCTACCTTATTTATAAGTTTTAACATACCTATTTATTACAAAAGTTTTACTTTTTAGTTTAATTTCTCATTTATTTAATGTTACTTGAAATGTTTCAGTAATTTCTTAATTTTTAGAAATAATAAACAGATTAGGGTTTGTTACTTTTTAAGTTTATCCTTGCTACGAAGGACAACCTCGTAAGCCTACACTAAACATAAAAATATTTATGGAAATAGGGAAGCTGTGGCGAAAATTCGCCCCCTGGAGGATTACGCCAGAATGTATAAATAGACGCTCTATATTCTTTGGTATAAATTTAAATAGTATTGCTCTCTTACTTCTAAATAACATTTTTTGATACGGATTCAGATCCTAATTCGTTAAAATTCAAATTTAGCACGGCCAAGGTGGTTCCTAGTTTATCTCGCAAAATCTGTATATATCCGATATGGTCTAGTGGCTAGGATACCTGGCTTTCACCCAGGAGGCTCGGGTTCGATTCCCGGTATCGGAAATTCTTTTGTTTTTCAAAACTTTTCACAAAATAAATTCAACTTTGTTCATTATGAATTTAAGTATTATGTTGATTTAAAAGCCTAACATATTTTGTACACACAAAGAAGTACATATATAAATATGTAGTAACGAAATCAAAAAATGTATTTTTGAAGTGAGAGAGCAAAAATTATTTAAATTTATACCAAAAAATATAGAGCGTCTATATTCTTTGTTTATACATTCTTTATATTTGTTTATGTTAAAAAGGTTAGCACACATCAAAGATATTACTACTTTACCTTCGTTAAATATTAACAGTATATTAAAAAGAAAATTTAAATTAAAATTAAATAGTTAGATGTATCACTATCAACATGAGTAGATTATGATATAATATGAGGCAATATTTCTAGATTTAAAAATATTAAATGTTATGTTAATCATAAATTACCTAATACTTCTAGATACTTAAAATATAGAAACTATTATTTTTGTTTATTAACTTTTAGAGTGAATTATGATGATAATGTCGGTTGTAATAGATTAAATATTATTATATTTTCAAGAAATGATACATTCCAATAAATATAACAGCCATTAAATTATGATTGCCCGAACATTTCAAACTTAAAAAACCGTAGTGTATCAATCCGGTATGGTCTAGTGGCTAGGATACCTGGCTCTCACCCAGGAGGCTCGGGTTCGATTCCCGGTACCGGAAACTTTTTTACTTTTTAGATTAATTTTTTTTTCGTAGATTCTAAAAAAATCAACAGTATCACAATATTTTAATACGAATTTGCAGTTTTTGAGTCCATTATCCTATCTTGAATGGTATTTGTATGTCCATTGGTATTTGCAATCTGTTAATAGATGGAAAATATCTGTAATAAGTTGAAGTGTTTTATTGAGCTCGCATTTTATTATTGGCATGTTTGTCTCAGAAGTATTATTCTGTGGACAAAATTCTGCTCGACTGTAAGCACGATTTATTCAAGATTAAGTTTTTGAATAAATTTGCAACATTTCTTTTTTTTTGTAAATCTTCATAAATATTAATTGTTAAATGTTTAATATTTTTAATTTGATTGATATGGGTTATGTAGTTAAAAAATATTTAGTTTGTAATATAGGTAGGTATGAGGGTGAATTGATATAAAACTAGCCTTTGATAGAAAAAACAAGTTTTTTGGAATTAAATCCCCTTTTAGCTCGATACACTTACTAAGACGATGTTCCAATTTTTATATACCATCCTAATTGTACTTTTGTTAAAGCTCAGGTTAGGCCGAAGTTTCAGCGACGACTTCATCATTTTTTGCGAAATGGCGAGCGGCGTCCTCAGAGCCATTCTTTTAGGTTTGGAAACAGCAAAAATCGCTGCCGGCAAGATCTGGGGAATACGGTGGGTATTTAACCAATTCATAGCCCAATTCGTGTAATTTTGCCATGGCCGATCAATGAGCCGGTGCTTTGTCTTGGTGAAAGAGCACTTTTTTGCGTTCCAAACCGGGTCGTTTTCGACGCAATTCGGCATCAAATCGATCCAATAGTGCTGCGCAGTACTCACCATTGATTGTTTTTCCTTTTTCCAAGTAGTGGATGTGGATGATGTCCTTCACATCTCAGAAAACAGTCGCCACCACTTTGCCTTCTTCGGCGGGCCTTCGCCGCGTTTGCGCCACTGTTTCGACAGTGATTATTACACACCGGAAACCAAAGAACAGGTTTCCGGTGTGTAATAATCCACCCGGCGAAAAAGATCCTTCGGATCTCGCCATATCATCGCCAAAAGCGTCTCCGAAGTGGTCACACGTTTTTACATTTGATCGATTGTTAACAAACGCAGCACCCATCGCGCGGATAGCTCTTTTATGTCCAAATGATGGGGAATGATATTGGTAAAACCAATTCGGTATCAAGTAGCGCCATCTATCAAAGGCTAGTTTATTATCAATCTATCCGAGTACTAACAATCTTTATACTAGTTCGGGGCAAGATTTTTCCGGGGAGTGTGACAAATACAGGTATCTAAATTTTTTAGTATATACATAGGCCTATCTATACAAAACCTATACGTTTTCTGCAGTCATTTAGGCATCTTTTTTTAATGATTAACAATTTAGTGTAAACAATACCAGTTTTTTCATACCATTAAAAAGCTTAATATTTTAAGTAGGTACAATTACAAAACTTCTTTTAAAGCATAAACAAAACTTTAAAATACCGATTGATAAAAGTTGTAAAATTAATCTGTTGCTTCTAAAACTGCAAAATAAGGCAAAATCGTTAAGTGTTTAGAAATATTTTAAAAATCAACCTAGATATTTGTTATTGCTCCAAACTTGCGTATTATGGTATTCAACAAACCCCCAATTCCAGATCGATCCATCAATTAGTTTAAAAATTATTCTATTTGTTTATCCGAGAGATCTTTTTGCAATAACATTAGTCAGAAAATGATGAACATACGGTAATTCTACGTATACCAAATGAAAGGTTAAGCGTTAAACTATCAATATGAAGGATAATTTTTAAGATAAATGCAGGTAGCGCGTGGAAGACTCTTATCGCTTCTAATATGGCATCACTTCCAGCCGAGCAATTTCCTCCTTTACCACAGTCTGACTCACACAGTCTAACTCATACAGTTTCACTCATTTTAGCCGCTTATCAAAATGGCATATATACAGCATATATTATCTCTATATCATATATTTACCTGACTTTGTTTATTTGCCTTTATTTTTATATACATACCTGATTTGACTTTAATAAAAACTAGGCTTCATACTATGTGTATAGTATGCTATCTTGCAAAGGAAGTCGTTGTACTTACGAACAAAAATTTCTGAAGACAGAATTGTTCAATAATGTATATCTGAATATATCAGACGCATTGCCCCTTTATGATTAATTTCAAATAATTTTTCCCCTCATTTTTAGTCTGATGAATACTAAAATTCATTGGGTAATATGCATTTATGTTTCCCTGAGCGTTTCCATCAAAAGCAGTATACATATATTATAACTATTAAATTTGTAGTATAAACTTTATGCTACACCATTTTACTGGTTACTTTATAACAGTTCCTTATTTAATTTCAGTTTAAAGAATACTAAAATTAAGTATTTTTTTTATTTTTCCAGAGATATTCTCTGGTAGTAACAAAATTTTGTCTGACGGATACTACAATTCGTTGGGAAATATTCAATTTCACTGAGTTATACTCTGAATTTTTTATAATCAATATTTTGTTATTATATTCATTAACTTGATTGCTTTATTGTAAGTATTTATTTTCAATTTGTTCCTACTGCAGATTACTACTGCATATACTTATTCCTAGGTAGAACATTGTGTTCTTGTTTTCTTTGAGAAAAATTTCTCAGTTGTGGTCGAAAATTTTCTGATGGTTGGTAGGAGTTAGGAGGTTAATCTTTATTAATTTATATTTAAATAATTATTTTATTTTAATTTCTTTATTAATTCCTTTACCTTCAGTTTCTTTTTTACTATTTTTTCTTCAAGAAGTAGTTGGCGCCCTCTGTCTTTCATTTCTTTCCGGTAGAATAAATATTCGCCCTCTCTCTTTCTGTCCGCTAATAAATATTCTGTTCTATGTTGACAGAAGAGCTAATTCCGTCATAGGCATACATCCTATGATATATGTGCTATACTTCATTATAATTTTCATAGTGGGAATATTCTTTTTTGTCAGTAATTGAAATTTATAAAAGAAGGTAGGAATTAATATAAGCTTCATTTTATGGTCTGCAAAATTCTCATACGGTGAATACTTTCATTGTAATCTATATACTACAATTCTGACAGCATTTTCAATATTCGTAACCTCACTTCTTTTAAAAGTTGACCCCCTTTGATGTTTCTCTAATACAGGCTATTTAATATCCTTGTTTATTGGATATTTATTGAAGATTTTATGGGATATTTGTGGAACATTTTATTAAAATATTTTATGGGATATGTCTGGAACATTTTATTGAAGATTTTAGGGGATATTTCTGAAACATTTTATTGAAATATTTTATGAGATATTGTTAGAACATTTTATTGAAAATACTTTATGGAGTGATGTGAGCCTAAACAGCTGTCTTTAAGACCTACTCACATGCTTTGGAGCCGGCAACTGGACCTACCCACATAATCTGCAGGTAACATATATTTAGAAGCAAGCAGCCCATCGAAGCCACAAGTAACATTCAAATTTATTTAATGTAAAGCATTAGGCAGGGTTGTTTTTGCTATTTAAATATTATTTTTTATGTATTAAATAAATATGATTAGTTAAATCATTGTTTTATTTGCTACCAGCTAAAGGTTCATTGTTTAATTTATAGTTCAAGACAAGATGAATTCACACTTGAGAGGCTGAGCTAGACAATAAGCTCTCATGGTTGATTGAGGTATTATTTTTATAATAATATTTCAATTCTCTTTGGTAGTCTTATCGTTACAACCTAAAATTAACATTCTGAGCAAAATTCAGCTTGTTTGTCTCGTTTAAGAGATCAAATCTCTGACGACTGGACTATGTATATAAAAACTAAAAAATTTTTTACCCTCTTAATTAATTCTTACCTATTTCCAAACATATTTCTCACTAGTAGTTTATTGAAATATATAACTGGTATGTAGCTGCGATCAAATCTCTTTTCTTCACTTGCCAAGTCGACATAGCTAAATTTAGCTTCTAGTGAGTCTATATTATTTGCAATACTGGTATAATTGGCTGCTCCTAAAGCGTATATTGTTTTGCCGGTAATTTCTGTAATTTTAAACCTAAAAATAAATTTAATTACAGAAGCTAAAAAACAATCAAATAGATATATCTCTATGTTTAGAAAACATGCAGATCACTTTTAGTTTTCAAAACAGGATTTTAATACTGTGAGCTATGGTCAAACATTTCAATTGTAGTCCAGTGAATGAACAATTTCCTCTACGAATTCTTTTAATATTACTTTATTTAATTTTAAAAATGTTATTTACATTTTAAAAGTATACAAAACATAGCATGAAGATGAAGCTTTGCGCTAATCTACAATATCTATGCTTCCTACAATATTCAAACTTCTTATATTGCATGTAAAATAATAAAAAAAATTGTTTTTTTTACAAACTTTATTTTTGTAAGTATACATTTTCCCCTGATAAATTTCTGTGTATTTTATATACAGGGGAATGGTGACCATTTGAAACACTGAATTTTTTTTTTGAAATGTATTAATGTAACATTGAAAAATCTTCACTATTTAGTCAGTTTACAAAAATAGCATTAATAGCAATAATGTTATAAATTTTGATGATCTTTTAAATAAAGTGTCACATGACCCCTTTTGAAATTTAAAAAGGGTCTTTCCCTTTCTCTTTCTTTAGAGTCGTCACCTGATAGGATTTCATTGAAATATCGAAACTTTAATACAGTTAATATTACAGATCTAAAAATCGACGTATCGAGCGGTTTTATTTTATGTTTAAAATACACGAGTTTGTAGAGTACAAAATAATCCGAACTTAAGCAATCAAAATTACGCGACTTACACACAAGCAACAGATGGAACAAATGTAAATAATGTCCATAATAATACGAACTCATACAACTAAAATCATGCAACTTACGCTCAAGTAGCTCAAGAGTTTCCTTAATGAATTCAAATCTGTTTTCACAACTAATAAACCAAAATAGCGTGATCTTAAACATGCTTTCCACAGTAATAAATAAACTTAGTAATGGAACTTAAGTCACTACGAATTGCACAATGGAATGCCAACGGCCTAGGCAACCATAACACAGAAGTTACTAACTTTCTTGAACATAACAAAATTGATGTTCCACTCATAAACCCATTTCAATGACAGAAAGATGTTCAAGATCCCTTATTACTCTATTTACAACACCAACCACTCCGATGGAACAGCACATGGTGGCGCTGCTATTATTGTACGTAACACCATACCACACCATGAGGAAACGTATCAGACGGAAAAAATACGAGCTGCAGTAATCTGTATCAGTTCTTAACTACAGTCTTTTAACATCACGGCAATGTACAGCCCTCCAAGGCATAATATCACCACAGCAGAATATGAAGACTTCTTTAAACATCTATCAAAGAAATTCTTAATTGGAGGTGACTGGAATGCCAAGCATACAGACTGGGGGTCGAGACTATGTACGACAAAGGGAAGAAATCTCAGACAAGCCATAGCTAACACAAACAGTTCTTACTTATCTACAGGGCAACCCACCTACTGGCCATCAGATCCAAACAAAATCCCAGATCTACACGACTTCTTTATCCTTCATAACATGGCCTTAAATTATTTTGACATACAACCATCCTGGGATCTGTCCACCGACCATACTCCCATAATTGTAACACTATCTACGCAAATTATAAAACGTCCGAATATCCCTAAGTTGACAACATCAAAAACCAACTGGAATGTATTTGAGTCTTACATAAATGAAAATTTAAATTTAAATATAAGATTAAAGCAACCAGACGATATCGATAATGCTGTAATTATTCTCACCCCAACTATACATGCAGCCGCAGAAATAGCTACACCCCCTTAGAATGACAAAGAACGAAGTGGCACCAATATACCCGTATATATAAAACGTCTTGTTGCACAAAAAGAAGAGCCAGGCGCATATGATACATACGCGAGGAATGATACATTTGAACTATTTATCAACAGCCTGTCAAAAGAAGACCACAGCATCTGGAAAGCAACGAAATCATTCAAGAGGCCTACACAGCACATACCACCTCTAATGAAAGACGATGGGAGCTGGGGAAAACCTGAACAAGAAAAGGCATCAATCTTTGCTACACATCTCTGACACGTTTTTGGTGCACCTGAACTTAATAACCATAACGAAGAACAAGTTAAAAACTTCTTAGACACTCCATGTTCAATGATGCTACCAATCAAATGCTTTACTCATAATAATGTAATAGAACAAATTTCTAGATGCAATAACTACAAATCACCAGGCTTCGACATGATCACCGGGCTAATATTAAAAAAAATTACCGAGAAAAGCAATTGTCTTACTAACAATGATATATAATAGTATCATAAGATTAGCCTACTACCCGATTAATTGGAAGTTCGCACAAATAATTATGATAAGTTAACCAAATAAACCACCAAATACTATTACTTCATATAGACCAATCAGCTTACTTCCAATAATGTCAAAAATCTTTGAAAGACTTCTGCTTCAAAGAATCTCAGAAGACATCGAAATTAATCCAGTGATCCCAAACCACCAGTTTGGTTTCCGCGAAGCCCATTCAACTCAACAACAGTGCCATAGGATTGTAAAAAACATTAATGTATGCCTCGAAGAGAAAAAAATTTGCACTGCTGCCTTCCTGGACATAGAACAAGCCTTCGACCGTGTTTGGCATGACGGCCTCCTATATAAACTTAAGTCATCCTTTTCCACCCCTCACTATCTTCTTTTAAAATCATACCTCACAGAACGTTACTTTCAAGTCAAATTCCTTACAGAAACCTCCCAATACTATTCCATAAAATCAGGTGTCCCTCAAGGAAGTGTCCTGGGTCCCCTCCTGTACTTCATATACACTGCTAATATCCCAACAACAAATACGACCACAGTAGCCATGTTCGCAGATGGCACCGCCATAATATCCATCGATGATGACCCCCAAGTAGCACCAGGAAACCTTCAAATACTCCTGAACCTAGTACAAGACTGGATGAATAGATGGAAAATCAAAGTTAACCATAATAACTCTAATCAAATTACATTCACCAATAGGAACATCATATGTCCGAGAATCAGACTGAACAATATACTACTACCAGTAAAAACAGAAGTCAAATACCTGGGAATGACACTTGATCAAAAGCTCACTTGGAAAGCATACATCTTGGCAAAAAAAAACAAATCAACATGAAAATACGTCATATGAATTGGCTAATAGGCCGAAAATCACAGTTATCAACAGATAATAAACTTCTATTGTATAAGTGCATAATAAAGCCAATATGGACATATGGAGTGCAACTATGGGGCTGTGCAAAGCCTTCTAATACCAAAATCATTCAGAGAATCCAATCCAAAATACTCAGAATGATTTTCAACGCGCCGTGGTACGTTAGTAACAAAACTCTGCATGATGACTCTGGTATACCGTTCATTGAAGACGAAATCAGCAGACTAACAAGAAATTATTCAGAACATCTACCAACCCACCCCAACGAGGAAGCAAGACAACTACACCTCCAACTAGAAGTCAGACGTAGATTGAATAGACAGTGGCCAACAGACTTTATACACTAATTTCAATTTTAATTTTAGTTTTTATTTCAATTTTAGTTTTAAATTATAATCATACATTAATTTAGTTTGTTAGTGTTAGTATTGGGAGTGTTATCAATGGATAATTTCTCCTCTCATGTATTTGCAATAATCACATTTACTAATATCTTGTAATAGCAGATTGTAAATTTGCAAATTTTATATAAAAAAAGAGTTTACAAAGGGAGTTGGACTTTATCCACTCACTGTATATCAAGTTGGTCGTGAAAGGAATAACAATGGAGGACGTTTAGTACGTTAGCTTTGACGAACATGACAATAGATAAGTCAAAATAGCAAATATTTTACTTACTCAAAATTCGTGTGGAAGTCCCAAGAAATATTTTTGGAAGTTAATTGTAGTTTTAAGATTCCTTTTAAAGGTCCATTTTTATCTGACAATTCAATTATTGCTTGCAATTGGGTACCTTGAAAATATTTTATTAAAAACAAAATTTTCTACAAATCTATTATATAATACAAATTATTTGCATGCATTGCTTTTGTATGTGCTTCCTTAAAATATTTCTGTAAATGAACATCAATATCTTAAACCTCTTATTTTTATCATTTTTCTGTCTTATTTTCTTTATTTCCATTACTCATAATTAAAGGGTTTTTATTTAGGATTGATTTTATTTACAGCTGGTTCACAGATCGGTTTATTATCAATATTAATTATAATCCCTAAAATACTACAGTGTCGAGGTACTTAGGAGTCATATTCCGATTACTAGTGATCAAGTAGTTGTTTGTGGACAACTTTTACTTATTCTGAGACAGTAATATAAATATTGTAAACAGGTACCTTTCATACTTTAATTTATGTTAATGGTATCAAATTGACCACTATGTTTCAAGAGACTATAGGTAAGATAGGCAATGTATTTCTTATGGGATAACAGCCGACCACGTTGCCGTTTTGCTCCTAGCGGCGCATCAGGACCGGATTTAAGAATCATAGCACTGAAATATACGCGCACACAACAATGGCTTATCATTATTGTTTCAACATATATGCTTGTATACAAGACTATCATTATTGTTTCAACTAAAGCACAGTATAAAGAGGTTCCAAAGCGGAACCTCTTTATACTGTGACTAAAGCATGATTCAATCATCGATTATAAATAAGGGAGTTACATTATCGAACTAAACAAGAACATGAAAAAAAAAATACTTAAAGAATATAATATATATCAAAAACTCATTGTAGATAGCTTATCTATATTTTTATCAATTTTCAATAGCTTCCATTGTAAACACATTCTTTGAGAAACAAAGATCATTAGGAGAAGCGAATTAGTTTTAAATCCCATTGTCCACGCAAAGACCAAAAACCAAAAACTTTAAAAACTCAGTTCTATTTCATTTTCGCAGGCAGATGAAAGTGCTTACATCATAGAACCGGTGCCAGTATGTCGTGAATATTAAACAGGGTATGACTCTTAGTGTGCAAATAAAAAGTTTGGTATTAAATGTGTTGAACAATCAATTAAACTTAAAAAATGGTGACAGCTTGACTATTAAGGTGAAAAAGTTTCGAAAATGTGCGGTGTGAGTGTTCGTAAAATTTATGATATCCGCGAAGAGGCCCAGCCAGGCGAATTGAAACCGGTACAAAAAAGGAAAAAAACAGTTTCCATTCAAATTCACGTGAGAATACTTACGATAAGGGAGTGAAATCTCTAATAAGAAAAATTGTCCATGATTTTCTTTTGGAACAAAGTGAAGGATGATGAGGATTTACCAGCTTTTTCAAAACCACATTTTGTAGGCTACTAAATGACAAAGGTTTTGAATATGGTAACAGAGGACGAGATTCAATAATGATGGAAAGAAAAGATATATCCTAGAGACACAAGTACATCAGACGAATAAAAACATTGAGGAAGAAGGATAATGTAAACCTTCTTTATATCTTGTCTTGGACTAACGTCGGTGCTTCAGTCAAAAAGAAATGAAGGGACACAACGATCAAGACTCCACGAAATGCCTTTATAAAAGGGCTCTCTACTGGACTGAAAGCTCCAACCCAAAGAGGTCCTCGGTTTGTTCTTCTTTATGTTGGAAGTGAAACTGGTTCTGTGACATGGACCGAATTACCTTTCTTGGCCAACAAGGAAACCGCTGATTACCATGACGAAATGGACGGGGATCTATATAAAGAATGTATTGAGAAGACGTTAATTCCAAACTTCCGAAAGACAAAGAAAATGTTGTTATCCAAACGTTTTGGATAACGCGTCATACCATTTCCGCAAATTTGCTTTCCTGAAAAAAGTGTGAAACAAAAGGCAAATCAAGGATTGGTTAATAGAAAATAACATTTTCTTCGAGAAAGATTACCTAAAAAGTAAATTACTAGATACTGCGGCCGCATTTAGAGGCGAGTACAACAAGTACAAAATTAAAACAATTGCAGAAAAATATGGCGTTAAGATTTTGAGACTGCCGGAGTTTGTGTCGAAACAAGTGAAAAGGTAATGGCTTCAAAAACGTCGATTTAAAAAAATGGTAGTTATGTTGATAAAAGAAGCTTACCAACGCGTATCTAAAGAGCGGTAGCACAATTGTGTAGACCACGTCAAGAAAGTAGAAGAAAAAACATTTGCGGTGGACAATTTAAAGAAAGATGGTGTACCGGTCATAATTAATATGGTAGATGATTCAGAGGATGAGGACGATTTAGATACGGATTGCAATTAACGAGAAATATCTCAGATTTAATGTTCCTTTGTTTTTTTTGGTACTGTACGTACAGTCCATTTTAGTTATGATCTTGTGTATTTTATGTATATATATATTTATTGTGTTACATTTTAATAAATTCGTCACTTCAATAGTCCTTGCATCACTTTAATTAAAATCTATAAATCAATATTCAGTCGATATCTCTTAGTATTTTTAAATTTCGAAGTTTTTATTAAACAGCGACTCCAAGTGGCAGTTTTGGTAGACATGCTTGTTGTCACTTCGGGGAAGAGAAGTTGGATTAAAAAAAAGTAGGGGGCTCAAGATGTGCTAAATTTGTTTGAAGAATATTAACTTTTTTTGGGGAAGAAGAGGAAGTTGAAGAAAAATTTTAGTTTGATTTGTTGTGTGTAATGTTTGATTTATAGCCAGTCTGAGCCGGTAAGTGAATGCAATTCTCAATAAAAAGTATAAAAACCATCAACCATTTTAATTTCTAAATTTTTCCTTTGATAGTTAATATATGTATCTGTCATTTTTCATTTCGTGTCATTAAGAAATATTCTAGATTTAAATATAATAATAATATAAAATCATACGTCAATTTTCTATATATTTTTAACTTTAAACCGTACTATTTTATCTAATAATAAAACCCGTCATTTTTTTTAAATAATACTAAATAACATTTAAGGATTGTCAACTACAGGTTGAAGTTTTAAATCGTCCCTATTAACTCTATGGTGCGGTTTTATCTGTACCTACACATTTAATCAAAGAGTACGGTATTGGTAATTTATTATTATATATTTAAACCTTGGGCATCTATCCCGTCAGGATAGTGTCCTTATTTCTTTATTAGGACATTTAATTGAAAGCCGATGTACAGAGTTACATCTCTAGTAGGCAAGTAAATTACCTTTTTACGGCCAGTTTCACAATCAGTGCTTAACCCTAGGAGTTAAGTAACCTTTACTCCTAGTTTAACTGACAGATGCAGTTTCACATTTACAGATTCGGTTATGGTCACTTAACCTTAGGTTTCGTTTTATTTGTCTTATGTTGGTAGGAAATGTTGGACAATAAACAAATTTTTATGGAATATTGTCAGTAAATATTATGGATATTGACCAGTATAGATGAGTTATGACATATTTATCACGTTCGATCGAAAAAATATATAGCATTTTTTTATATAGAAAAAATCTTCATAGTCAGGTTCTTTAAAGTGATTTGTTCTGTGCCTAATGATAATTGCTCTGCCAGCTTCCTCATCACTGCTTAAAGTATTTACATCATATAAATCCATATATGATTAATTATTAATTTACGTGCCTTTCTACACTCTGTCAGTGTCAACAAAACGAAATTCGAAATTAGGTTAGGATATCCTGGTCAAGCTCTAAACCACAGCTTTTACTTTGGGTTAAAAATTTTGTAAGTTAACCACAACCCGAGCTGTTGACCTTATATTGTGAAACCTATATTTTAGGGTAACCACTGCTTATCTCTTAACCGCAAGGTAACTTTACTTTGTGAAACCAGCCGTTAGGTAGAATCATTAATTTTTTTTATATTGTATTATTTGTAAATTCAGATAATCAAGGATCAATTTTGTATAACCAGGGAATTTTTTAGTATATAAGTAGCTAGGTTAAGTATACATAAATGGTGGTGGGTAGCATAAAGAATTAGACTGTATAATTATATTTGCTAGGTATTAAATGTGTTGTAAAGACTAAATATTTTAATGAATACCTGTTTTCCTTTTCATTTCAGCAAAAAGGGTATACAGCTTTACAAGATACCTTGAAAGGTATATGTTAATACTTTCCTAGCGGCCAATCACATCTTAGAGCAACTTCTACATATAGTCTATCACGTTCATTTACATTATTCATGTATTTTTTTTTATTACCTTGTCATTCATTTTCTCATTGTACGGTCTCTGTAGGGCATGTAAATTGGCCGAATCATCCTCTTTTGAGTATCAAGTAGTCACTCTCCGGCACATTCCGCTAGCCAGCTTTCATTAATTTGTTGTTTTGTTATTCGCTCCGTGCGTGACTGACGCGACACCTACCGCCTTCATCTAACAATTTGGGACCTCCCAATTTTCAGGTTAAACATATGACATATGTTTGACATTGTTAAATACATGCGAAATTGACAATTATTAATAAATTAGTTTTTTAACTATGTTGTTTCAGTTTATGTACCAAATAAATGTAGTATTAAAAACTGGGTTTCTCAGAATTCATCATAATATATCTTTTCAACTCCAAACGGAAAAGAAAGGGAAAAATCTGGTATTGTCAAATCAAGTTTTTCACGCAAAAGAGCATACAATTAAAAACAATAATAGTAACAGTTATTATATAAAAGCTAAAGTCATCTGCAGTTAGCTTGAAGCCTTATGAAATATCATTCAAGGTAAATTATTTAAATTTTTTCTATTTCAATTGCATAAAAATGAAATTATGTGATATTTACTTTTTCATATTAATAGCACGAATTCATATTTTTATTTTCTCTAATTTATATGTAATTTTTGGGAACCTATAAAAACTACACTCACTGTTTTTGCTATTATTAGCACAATTAAATATGCAACATGTATTTGCGCACATTTTTGATAAAATATATGCGTAAAAATATTTTGTCCAATATTCCAATTTTGTCATATTTCGCCACTACGCACGCTGGCATCGTTTCAATGTACCCCTACCATGGT